CTCTCTCTCTCTCTCTCTCTCTCTCTCTCTCTCTCTCTCTCTCTCTCTCTTTCACACACTCATACACACACATACACACACACACACACACATACGTACATACATTCTCCTGTCTATTGATGGGGAGCGCCACCTATTGGAAACTGGCTCCAGCGTCCCATGAACATCGTCAATGAAACACCAACCGGGACCGCACACGCACTCTCTTCGAGTTATATATAGCGAACATGACAAAACATACATATAACATAATCACTACCTTACCCTTCCCGAACCACATAAACAAACGAACTACGGGCTGCACACCCGTGCCCTCACGGTAAGTCAATTCGCAGCCCGTCAGGGATGCGCTTTCTCCCCCTGAGACATTCAACGTTCTAAAATCACAAATGGAAAAATCAAAAATCAAAAATAAAAAATATAATTTTGCACGGAATGAAAATAAATTTTCAGGGACGAAAAAGAAACATACACGACTAAGTACTCCAGAATATCTCGGAATTTCTGCAGATATAACGACGTAACAGTGTCGCTCACATTTCCAAACATACGAAACAAATAGAAGATGAAATACCTAAAGCAGTGGAAACGAACCAATAAAGAAAAAGTACTCAACTGAAAATGAAGGAAAATCCACGGTCATGAAAGTAAACAAGAAAAAAACAACAAACAAGGCCAGATTCGAGTCGGTATAAAAAAACAGCGGAGTTGTAGTAAGCAAGTACCACAGTAAGACAAAACTCCGACAGAGAGGAGAGTACGTGAGTAGCACCCACAAAATCATTAGATATGATGAAAGTAGCTCCAGATTGAAGGTATGTTGGAAATCGACGACGACAAGGACAACACAGAGAGCGACTGCGGGAGATCCTGAGGATAGATGATGAGTACACTGCAAGGATAGGGAAAGTGGCGGAGAAGGACTGGAAATGAAGGGTATAAATATTGAGGATAGTGACTAAAATGATTACCTGAGCAGTGAGGTAGAAGGGTAATCGTGACTGGTGTCACATGCCATGGATATTACGTGTATGCTGTGAAAGTAAAACCTCGCACGTTCTGTCTACATTTGCATGTGTATGCTGTGAAAGTAAAACCTCGAACGTTCTGTCTACATTTGCATTTGTTTATCTCTATGCACGGTGCTTAGAACTTGCGGGCGGTACCCGCGATGATTGACACTGTATAGACCTGACACTCTTTCATTTTACATTCACTGTCTTTATCTCTCTCTCATCATTCGTAACTCTTTTCTTTCATGATATCATAGTGGCGATTTGTTGGAGATTACTATAGCATGGAGATTACTCAGCGATTTTTGGATATTCTATTTTACTTATCTGGTGTGTACTGAAGACGATCAACGACGTTGTGGGGTTTGTATCGATTTCAAGTACGAAGACTACCTACCTGACGTTCCCAAGCTTCAAGGAAGATGTCGCGTTCGCGATCATCGTCGGACAGGAGGCGGCGCAGACACTCATCATCATCTTCCGGATCTCAAGGGAGGAAGCGCTCAAGAAGTGGGACATCGAAAACTCCGAGAGATAGAAGACATAAGTCAAGATCACCATCGTCACGGAGAAGAAAGGCGGAGTCAGAATCTCCAAGGTGGTTCTCGAGACCATTGTGGGAGCAAAGACGGAATGATTTCCCCCCACCGGAAAATCGAGCGTGGTTTACGGCGGATCTAAATAAAGAAATCTCTAAGCTGCGCCGGAAGATAGACAAAGTTCTCAAGACACTGGAGCAACTCACACGAAAGACAAGTGAAAAGCAACCAGCTCCTCCGAACAAGGAAGACATCGCAAAAAAGCCTGAGCTAACTTCGGACGCGCTCAAGTTCATCAGTGATGAAGCACTGAAGCCAATAGAGATGAACCAAGGGGGACAGAATCAAGTTGGTCCAAGCGCAACCGGTCAGAAGAATGCAGAGGCGGAAGATAAAGTAGAAAGGATAGTATCGGAAGTGCAGAAAGAGGTCAACAACCTAGAGCTACTAAAGTATGATCTGGTAGTTGTGAAGGGCGCGTTGCATAAGATCAATGAACCGACTCGTACATGCACTCCGATCGTGTCGTCTTTGGTTCATCCGAACGGATATGTGGGGACAATGGCTGGACTACCAACTTCAGTAAATGGTAGCCGCAACATTCCGAGCCGAAGCATGCCAAGTAGAAGCGCACCGAACAAAAGCAGATTGGGACGCGTAATCCCTCCACACCCCAAAAGAGGACGAACGAAGATTAATCGCAACGTGTCGGCAGCGAAGTCAAATGCATGACATCAGGTACAAGGACAAGCCGCAAACGATCTCGGCATTGAGGCAAGTTCCTGGATTGATCGCCTACAAGGGGCGGGACTTCAACCGGGATTCTGATCTTAAAACACAAATCATGCCAGATCTAGATAACATCAGAGTGTCCAATACAACTGGCAGCGATACAAGTGAGGATGATTACGAGAGCCTTAGTACAAGATCAAGCAGGAGTGATGAGTATGACTCATCCGACACATCTTCGAAGATCTGTCGGTAAGGTAGAAGACACCTCAACATCAAGCGACCTCACCACGACACAGAAGTGGGAGCAGATACACAGGCTATCAACGAAAATTGAGCAACTAGTTAGTACAGGGAGTTTCACCTTGGTGTAGACATATGTACGTGGGGAGGACAGAAAGACAGTCCGACAAGAGATGGACTGAACACATAAACTTGGCCAAAAATCCAAATAGAGGAGCACAGCGGAAGCTATACAGTTGGCTGCACAAATTTGGTTGGCAAAAATATGTTCTCATACCCATTTGGGCGGGAGTGAGATCAGAGGTGATAGGGATGGAAGCAACACTGATTAGGAAACTGAATCCATTCTTGAATACAAGGGGAAAAGACAGACAAACTCGGAAAAAACGAAGACGAAGAAGGAGAAAGAGGAAGAAGAATGAAAACAATGAGGTGAATCAGAATATACGTGCTTTGTTTAAAAGCGACTGCGGGAGATCCTGAGGATAGATGATGAGTACACTGCAAGGATAGGGAAAGTGGCGGAGAAGGACTGGGAACGAAGGGTATAAATACTGAGGATAGTGACTGAAATGATTACCTGAGCAGTGAGGTAGAAGGGTAATCGCGACTGGTGTCGCATGCCATGGACATTACGTGTATGCTGTGAAAGTAAAACCTCGCACGTTCTGTCTACATTTGCATGTGTTTATCTTTCTCTCTCTCTCTCTCTCTCTCT